GAGAAAACGTTAAGAACATTTTTTAAACCTGTTCAAACGAATAATAATCGAACAATGTTTTATTGAAGGACGTCGATCTATAAGCGTAAAATAAACACAGTTGGAGGAGGAAAATTCTCGTTTGTCCTTGCATTGGCACAACATTCTTGCATTCATAAATATAAAATTTCACCAGTAAAATGTGCCAAATAAGGTCAGCAACAGATGATCACAACAGCGTTTAACCTTGGACCTCTCTTCTTACACGCAGTGTTTGAAAAATAAGTTAATTCATAAGAGAAAATGTTAATAAAAATGAATAAGTTCACGGATAGAAAAATTCTTACAGCTCTTTGAAGGGGGTTTTTTTTTTGCTATTTTTAATGCATCAAAATCGAGAACATTAATTCCAAATGTGGTAACTTGATATTTTTCTGCGACTAGACGTTGAATAATTAACATTTTCTATTGTAATATTTAACGTTCCGAATAATAATTCCCAGAATAACAGTAGACATAATTACTTCACTGTCTCAACCATTCGAGGCAATGTATTACTAGTGTGTTACTCTAGGGATTCAGGTTCGAGTTCGAATTGGCTCAGAAATTGTGACGGGTATTTTGACTCAAATGTATCGGGCAGGGACGTAACAAGATAGTATTGTTAGAGGGGCATCTGAATACATTGTTGGGAAGATTTAGGTCTACATTTGTTAGGGCTTAAGTTATAATATATGAAAGAGTCTTCCACTTCCACAACATAATAAGGAACAATAGGTGCTTACTGTTTAAGGTTAGAGTTCTCTTAGTGTGAAGTACTAAACTATAGTTTGTTTAGCTTATGTGTAAATACGATCCTGTTTATGAGTAAAATTCTTTTTAAAATAGATCTAAAGGAGGAGGATCTAAGATTGTAATTGTGAGGTTAATGGGATATATGTGCCCCTTTACCTCTAAATGAACACGACTGTTTTAATTAACTATTTGCTTGAGTTCGAGAGAAATCTGTTAAGAATGGATTTTGCCTCTCTTAGAATATCGATTTATTGTTATAAAAGATTCAAGTTCGAATCGTGATCGTGTATTTTCAAGAAAAATTATTTTCATAATTATTCTCGAATAACGGATATCTGCCTGCAATGTTGAGTTCGGCCGAAAGCTATATTGTGTCATGCCTCCCATTAAAAAAATTACTTTATTCTGTACGTTCAGCGTATAAATCTAAATTAATATAGGAATATTGAAATAATATATAGATATTTGTTGCTTTAAGTGTGTATTTTGCATTCAGATATATTGTTAAAGAGATTTAAAACCTATTTTGTAAGCTTTTGTTTCATTTGTACTATGTGTTCTTCGAGCTGCTCGAACGTGTACTTCGTCCTCATCGATAATCTCAATGATATCTCCGTTTCAAGTGTAAAGTCTATCTTCTTTGAAGCTCTTACTTAATCTTATATTCGGCTACACCGAAGTCCATTTATATGTCATCAGAATATACTTTTAGTATCTGATTTAGTCCTCCTGAGAGGCATTTTCCCTTTGGCAAATCTCTCGTATATTGCGTTGTCTTGTCCCATCAATTCAATCCTTTTGTTCATTTTTATTTCACATCTTGAAAAAAAAGCTGAAAATTATGGACAGTTACAGAAAGATCCTGAATATACGTGCAATTCCGGAAGTTTTGATGAGCGGTCTGTTCCGGAGATATAGGGTCCCGTGCCTTACTTACGTTTTCATAATACATATTTTATAGTATTTCCTTGTATATATAACATTCAAAAAATATAAATTAAATGAATTATGTACATTATTTTTTAATATTAGACTACTATTTTAATATTTTTTATTTTAATATTTAAAATAAAAAAATAATAAGTTCGAGTAATTTAATACAGTCGACTCCCCTATAACACTGTCGATTATTTCGTTTTATATGAATTCCATGTTGTACGAGTCACTTAGATTTTATAAATACGTGTGCCGGGCTGTGAACGGCTCACGTATTTGTAAAATCTAAGTGACTCGTACAACATGGAATTCATATAAAACGAAATAATCGACAGTGTTATAGGGGGTCGACTTTATTTGAGAATGGGTGGCCGGATGGCCAATGTGGTTAATGCATCAGTTTATCGCTCTGGAGCCCAAATCCAGGCGAGCAATACTTCGAAAATTATTCATAGTCGGTCTGTGTTCGTCTTTCACCATCCGGCTGTCTCCATTTTGGGTCTAACTGAACCCATAATTTAAAAAAAAGCTTTTTTTTTTTTAGTGCCCACAGAGTGGAAAGAGTTAAATATAAAAAATGTATATGTATATTTAACTAATATAAATTATTATATATTCATTTCCTTTAAAGTAGTAGTTCTACAGACTATCGCGTGACTATCTTTCATAACCTAAACTGCTTTAAGTACTGTATAAAGTTTTCATAAGGTTAAAAAACAAATAAAAAGAAATTATAGTTACCTGTAAACTGCGAACAGTAAAACATCTTTCCGTACTACCTGATCAAAATTATTACAGCCTTTATTTGCAGTGAGGAATTTCTACTTAAAAAGTTTCTTTCTTTGTGATTAAGTCTGTTATTACAGTAAGGTTTTTTTTTTTTTTTAAGTTTTAAAATTTTATAAAAGTTTATTTCCTAAATGAACATGACACGGATCTATATCTGAAATAATTTAATCGATTTGTTATAGATGATATCAGAAATAAAAATAAACAGTTTAATCTAATCATCTGACTCTGACAACTACACCATACAAGGACGAATATAGAATGATCACGTAGTCAGGTAACACCGCTTAACAAATTTATAATTTAATTTAAATATGACCGGTATATAGGTCTACCATCGAGTAAATTGGTAAAACAATGCCTGTATTTGAGTATACTTTTAAATACTATCAAACTAGTTCTGATGGCCGAACAGATGAGTGAGTGATAAAGACGTCAGGGTGGTACTTTAAGAATCCAGGATTCGAATTCGAATAGAAATCTAAAAAAATTTCGAGGGTATCTTGATATACCAGATTCCATGCCTCACCATTGTGGACTTGGCTGAACTTATGATGGGCATGAGTTAACAACTGCGGGGGGGAAGAGTTTAAAAAATTCTTATATAAACGAAATTACAATATTACTTGAGGATAAAAGAGCCAGAAAAGAACATTTTGAATTGTATTATAGTCAGAATATTTTTATAAACGTCCATTTATTTTAATGTTTAGGAAAATGACCCTTATTTCGTGTTAAACACGTGCAGAAACTCGCAGCCAATCCGTTGGCCAGTGATTTTAATTAATTTTATTTTATATAATTAACTTATTCAAAAAAGTCCCGAATTCTTGACTGAAACCTCATTTAATTGCACGTTTCCGTGATTTTCATAAAACCAAAATCATAATCTAAATATGAAATACAATAGCGAGACTTTGTTTTCGCTATAATTTATTCAACTGAATTACACATATAAAAATGCATTTTATACGCAATTAAATTTGCGTGACTTTCAAGCATTTGCTGGATAATTATAAATTATTATGTGCTGAAAAAAATAAGAATGTGAATTTAATGAATTTGAGACGATATAAAAGACTATTACTTTGTTTTTAATTTATTAATATAAAACATAATTCAAATTTATATCTTCTTTTTATATGTTACAAAACGAATAATAACAATTTATGCCAATTATAATCCTTACTAAAGAGATTATTTTCTTTAGTTTAAAAAACAATACTGGGTGATCGTAATTAAAGTATTCCTACTGAATGATGTCTAGAGATATTTAATGGTCCAAATTCAACTCAAATTTGGTATGGTGGCATTTCAGGACACGCGAAAGACATTACTATATATATATAAATAGTATCAGAACTTACCATTACGGTGATGCAAGTAACAAACATTTTACTTGTACAACAGATTCATGCTATACAGAGATCTTAGTAATGCAAGGGGCAGTGTTCAACTAACTGCCATTCTTAAAGTGTAAAATCTGAAGGAGATGAACCGTGTTCAATGGTTAACTGTAACTAATCCTCTGTGATTCTTCTTACATTTAGTTTGAAACTGTCTTTGTAACATATCCTTTTAAAGTGTCCCCCAAACTAAATTTAGTTGAATTTCGTTACTATTGATAGATATATCTTCAGACAGCGTTGAATAGGAACACTTTAATTACGATCACTCGATAGATCTTGAAGCTGTTTCGATAAGTGTTGTATAGCGGTTTTAGACACTAAAATGATAAAATTATGTTTGAGTACATTTCTAAGAGCACTCATAAAAAATTTATTTTAACAACATCTAAAGTTATGGAATAAGGTATGCTTAAAATAATATTGTAAACTCGAAATGTAAAACTCCGTGATAACAATAAACTTGTTATGAAATGAAATTCTGTTCATGAAACTTTTCAGAAACTGTCTTCATAATAACGGAGCCCATCAGTGGCCAAGCAGTTTCGTTCCCTGAACACTAGTAGTTCGGGTAGTGGGCCAGGACGGGCTGGCCAAGTGGAGTTTTTCGGGTTTTCTTCACGTCTGTAACTCCTAAATATGAGCCAGTTACTCTTAAAAAAAACCTCCCGGAAGGCATCCCCTAGGAAGATCGCCTAAGTGTTGGGTTGCCATAACTTAACAAACAAACAAGTATCATATCAAGAGTACAGAAAATACTATTTTTTAAAAAAAGAAAAGTAATAATAATTTCTTCAATCCTGATTCGGCACATTCACAAACAACAAAAATCACTACACTAATATAGTGTAAGTACTTTTCAGTAATAGATTATAACTTGACTAAATGATATATTCATATACAATTTTAGACAATTAAAATTTACTAAAGACAATTATAAGCAGAAATACAATACAGGTATTAAAATTTTCTACAAGCTCTTTGAAATAATATTATTAATATAAAAAAATTTTATTTTATATCCTGTAAAATATTTTTTCCTATCCTAAAAACATTAATAAAAGATTTCAAATTATATTATTCATTAAATGCGTTTTTATTATCTTTAAAAATATATTTAATATCTGTCAAAAGGTAATTTATTTTAAATTCGATAATATTTATACTGTAATAGTTCATACAACTTGACACGTGATTGTCCAGGCAATAAAAATATCAGTCTATCGTTCTACTAAATTTCTATTTGATTTCAAAATGGCTCAGAAAATTTCCGGATGAGTTGATCTGAATATGCTAAGTGTGATTCCTCATCATTCGATCTCTCCCATTGTGGGCTCAGACCGAACCCATATTAGGCATGGAAAAGTCCCACAGAGTGGAATATAGGCTTATATATAGCCTAGTTTTCGTTAATAATTTGATAATAGATTATTCGCATATGTTCTGTTAATAAATTTTAATTAATCATTTAACATTTATTATAATTCTTTATTAAAATATTGATCTATCTTCATTTTATTTATATATATTTCATCCCGATTATGCATATACCCAAGTAAGAAAACTTAAAATTTAAATGGAATTAATCGATTATACATCGTATTCTTTCCATAAATAACGAGCTTCCGATTTTCCTAATTTCTCTCTAAATCTTTCATCCATTCTTCTCGCCTGATCTTCACTCATATAGTTTTTCCAATCACCTATTTCACCTTTTCTTATGAAATCAGGCATATTTTCAGGTCTTTCGGAACTCCAAGCTGTTTTATGTGTCGCTTTCATGGCATTAAAATGACTATTTTTTACTACTTTTTCTAAAATAGCATTGTTATCTACGGAATTAGCAAATTTTCCTTCTAAAAAGTAACCAATTTTACGAATATTGGATTCGGGATCAGTTTTAATATCCTCGTATAATAAGAATAATACATTATCGTCGTCTTTATGCGAATACCAAGATAATAGATTGTCGAAATAATCTTTAGAATCAACTTGGCCTGTAATGAATAATTCGAAATAGTCGTCAAATGTACCATTCTCAAAATTATAATGTTTAGGGAATCCTTTAGTATGATGATAAAAAGATATACAACAATCTTTGGGATTTCGAGCAATGTAAATATACTTAGATTTACTATTATATGGAGTCAAGTAAAAGGGTAAATGTATTTTGATTATTCTAGGTTTTACCATTTTCATTACAAATTCAGCCCCTTTTTCTTCTAAGTGTGGGGCAAAATCATGAATGCTCTGCCCTTTCTCAATTGGCTTTCCTTCATTCCACAATAGAAATAAAATATATTGGCACCAAGTGGTACCGCATTTAGGATAGGTGGATATAAATATATCTCCATCTTCGGCCGGGTATTTCAATCCTGAATAATAGCTCTCCAAAGAAAAACTTCTTGGAAGGATATATCCATCATTTGCTACATTGTAAGAAGGAATATTCCTCGTCGAAGCCATCTGCAAAAAATTGATGGCGATTAATGCCTAATCTATTTTTGTTTCCAATTTCTTGTGTCAGATGAAACAGAAAATTTTTATGCAAAATATATTGTACATATAATATTTAAATAAGAAATAAATAAAATAAATATTTTTATATAAATTTAAACACGCATAAGGTATATAAAGTTAAAATGATCAAGATAAAAATGTAAGCATCCAATTAAGTGTAATTTGATAGAAATATGCTTCTTGTCTTGTTGAAATTTATTGTTATCAAGCTTCTACAATCTGAGGACATCAATTAGAAGCCAATACATAAGCTTGATAACATTAAAGTGTAAATTTCTTGCTGCAATTTATCCTAATAGGTTCGTGTGCCATAAAACAATAAATAACTAATTGGCAATTTTGTATCAATTTATCATTACCAAGTTAAAAGAAATATTGTGTTTATTGATTTATACATCATTTATACATGAAATTTATTAAATGTAATTTCAATTCATGTTGTTCTTCTTTATACACAAAATATATAGAAATATCCTTTACATAAAGAAAAATAAATAAATTTGTTTCATACATACTTTATTAAGATTATTTATAATGTAGTTTACAAAAACACCAAAATTTTCATAATAATTTTTCTCAATTAATCCTTATCCTCTCTGCACTTTTGCTATGGCCGTTCATGAAAATTTTGTAACTCTATTTCATCAAAATGGCACATTTTTTTCCGTTGTCTTACAATTATTCATCACTTTTTGAAAAAATAAAATAAAAAATATGTTAGGAATATCCTTTCTGTTGTCTTTCTGATCTGAATGCTTTAGTACGAGAAGACTGTTTTTACTTATCTATTCTTGAAGATAATGGTTGAAATAAACCAATATAAAATATACTCCATTATCGTCGATTATTACATTTTTTGTCTCTAATTTTCTGTTAACAATTTCTTTCTTTCGTTAAATTATTTATGGCAATTTATGGATTAAATGTTGTAAAATATTACAACATTTAATTCATAAATCCACGTTACTTTCCCAGCTGTTATGCATACAGCCGGGTACAGATTTGACCCTCTGGTATTTTTGCAAATCTCCACATTTTAAAAAAATTCATCTCTACCTTCAAAATTAAACCTTTTTTTTTATGTCTTTTTTATAATAATGATTAATATAAAATTAAAGAACTAAATATTTAAGATTTCTGTACTTTTGATAAACCTAGTTCGAAATCCATATACAAATAATACAAAATCTAATTTATTTAAAATTCATTAACTTATTTAAAAACGTTGGTATTGGAACTCGAATTTTAAAATGCATAGAAAAATCACAATCTTTAGAAACTACTTCATTGTTAATTCAAGAAGAAAGCATCTTAATTCTAAATTCCATTAAATATTTACAATCAAAGCATTTTATATGCTTTAAAATCATTTCGAAGTATATATTTTCCATTGATTTTACACTTGTTTCTAATTCACTTTCTTGTCTTTTATGAATATTTTTTCCATGTTTAATATATAATAGAAGACAGAGAGTAAATCTATTCAGAATATTTCATTTTTGGATGATTTTGCAATATGAGTAACATAAGATATTGGCATTTTCCTTCTTTTAGTAAAAATTTTCATTGTATATTTTATCACATTTATAATTTTTAAAAATAATGTTTATTATTTTAAGTATATTAAAGTAAATAATGCTTGAACTTATAGCTTTCCTTTAAGCTCTTTTTTTTTATTCTTAAAGGAAAGCTATAAGCTGTAGCATATAAGCTATTACAATGTTTTATGAAAATTGCCTTAAATATCTTAACATCTTACGAATACATTCTTACCAGATGAAAAAATTACAAATGGAGGACAAATTGTTCTGGCAAGTAGGACATTACGCTATATTTGGGTACAGGAAGATATTTTTTTAAATTCAAAAGGAAGAACAAATGCACCAAATGAACATCTGGTAATCAAGCGGAGAACATATAATCCTTTTGCATACCATACGGTAACCTTATACCAATATAAATGAGATTTATTTTTATATAACCCCTACAGTATGTATCAAAATATGTAAAACATCATACATGTACCTATATTAAAAGTGGAAGCTTCTAATTTATTTCTTAAAGTTAAAATCATGCCTTAATTTTCAAGGAAAGTAACCAACCACGTGATACTTATCCAGCTGATGTAAAACGTGGCAGCAAAATGACTGTAGCGCCACTATGTGTAATACAGTACAGTACAAACAATATATAAAAGTCCTGAGGAAAGGACAACAGAATGGTTTAGTTTGGGCTTCATACTTATGGGATTCAGAAATCATTTATTAAAAATTATTCATATCATTAAAATTTATTCTATATTTTAAAAGGAAAAAAATACTCGATAAAATTTTTAAATACAGTAGTTTCAAAGTGTAGATATATCTTCCATATCTTTACTGCTAAAATCCTTTCAAACTTAAATATCTTCAGATAGTAAGTTTAATTCCGGACTTATCAAGACAAGAATGAAGCCAACAGAGTTTTGTACAGTCGACCTCCCTCTATAACACTGTTGATTATTCCATTTTATATGAATTCCATGTTGTACGAGTCACTTAGATTTTACAAATACGTGTGCCGGGCTGTGAACGGCTCACATATTTGTAAAATCTAAGTGACTCGTACAACATGGAATTCATATAAAACGGAAATATCANACTTACAGTAATTAATTTGGAAATTCTGTGGGATTAACTGGGACTTTCTAACGTAAATTAACAAGTCAATAATTAAATTAATAATGTAACTTTTATAGCTAAACACTAGCAATTTGTGTAATCTATCGCATTTAGAATTCTCATTTATACTCTTATTTTAACAAATGATAACGACACTTTTTATAGTTATGTTTTAATCAGGTCCTATCATGGAGGAACCAGCAAATTGTATGAAATTGTACAGTACCTCAATTATATGCTGTATTAAGTAAAAACAAAAATCTTTATTTATCATCAAATTTTATTAAAGAATGTAATGCACTTTTTAAACTTCTTCTTAAATAATAAAGTTTGACCAAAAAAAAAACAATAAATATATACAGTATATACAGAAGAAAAAGGGCTTAAAGAGGTAAATAGCCCAGAACACTTATCTTTTTAAAATCCTATTATATCAAAACATTCTATCGCCCTCTCAGAGATTCCAGGAGATTCTGAGATTCACAACTTTATAATTGAAACATAATGTAATTTATTCAACAACTGCCTCATGTCATCTAATAAAAAAAACTCCTTTCCCTTCTGCTACCGAGCATTTGTAAGCTTGTATTTTCATTGTCTGGAAAAATAGCTGGGACAATACAATACGCTGTTTCTCCTCGACTCCCTCCCCACCAGAGTTAATTATTATTAAAAAAAAACCTTCTACAAGACTGAAATCTATCAAAATGGAAGTTTTGTAGAAGGTTGTTCAGAGCCGTGTAGAAGTACTATGGGTCGGTGTAAGGGGTCGATTTGTCTATATCAAGACAATAATAATAAATATATTACTTATGTATATAATATAATCGTCAATGTACATATTTTTATAATATATTTCTTTAAATATTTATTTTAAAAATTGATAACAAATTGTCTAAACATTTGAGAAAGTAAAATTATAATTAAAATTGAAAGTTATCTTAGTTGATTGAAGTTGAATATAATATTATTATTATAAATAATATAAAACAAATAATATTATTCTGACAAATTATATAAATGGAAACAACAACTTATCTTAAGAATTATTTGATATAAATTAAAAATCTATTTTATAATCAATTTAATAATCCAGACAATCGAAAATTTAACTTGAAAACTGTATAATAAAGCCAAATTTACATTTAAGATAAGCTATATCTAAGAACCTCACGCGACAACGTACAGCTTAATTAACACCTCATGCTTTTAAATAGATTATTATTTGAGAAAGAAGTACCTCTTATGTATTGTAATAACCATTACAATTCTAAATAGCCGCTGTTTATAGTGTTAAAAGATTGACATATAATATAACAAGTTACAATTAAGAACCTCATGCTATACGTCTACAGCTTAGAACCTCACCATAAGTGTATGTCTACGGTGAGGCTTTAAGCCGTGTAATGTGACGTTCTAAGTTTAAATTTATTACTATTTCAAGGAGAAGAACCTCTTATAACAACGATAACAAGTCTAAATCGACCCTATTTATAATACTAAAAGAGTAAACTGAGAAGACCAAGAATTCAAATTTTTTTTTTTTTTTAATTATACGAGTCTAACATTTAATTAAAAACAATCGACAACGTATAAACGAATTCTATAATTTTTTTTTTTAATAAAGACATTTATTTCCTTTACAATGAACTCACCTCGTTATTTAGAAAGTCGCAATCCGTTCAAAGTTTAACCATCAGAAGGGAGGAACATCCTGTAGTCATTCAGTCAAACGCTATTCATTGTCTGATCAATCACGTTTCCACCAAGATAAGATAAAGTCTTTAAGATAAAATTAGTCCTTCAACCCTTATAGACCTAGCTTAAATGTTCAATGACTCTTACAAGAAGCTTATGTTCATTAATTGGTTTACAAAATATTAGTTTTTGTCAAATAGTATGCTTAATTTCTAACTTGTTATAGGTTATCCCTATCAATAAATTATCTCTGTTGCTATATACTTATTCCATTACAAATATAGGCAGAAGAGCGTGAATAACAGATGCAAGGTTAAACTGTTGCTAGGGTAATCGTCCCACATAAGAGAACATTCATCCCTCTATTGAGTGCATGTATCGTAATATCCAGGAAATCCGTTATTTTCTTTGTTTAATTACATTATTTAGCTAATTAATTCTAGTGTTAAAGACTTTATATTTTTATTTTTTCTATGAGAAAATTAATTGTAAAACTTTAGTGCCATGCGTATTAAAAATAAGATCATGGTAACAGTCAGATTATCTCAAATTATCATTTATAGCAAATATATGTTTTATATANTATCTTCTTTTTATATGTTACAAAACGAATAATAACAATTTATGCCAATTATAATCCTTACTAAAGAGATTATTTTCTTTAGTTTAAAAAACAATACTGGGTGATCGTAATTAAAGTATTCCTACTGAATGATGTCTAGAGATATTTAATGGTCCAAATTCAACTCAAATTTGGTATGGTGACATTTCAGGACACGCGAAAGACATTACTATATATATATAAATAGTATCAGAACTTACCATTACGGTGATGCAAGTAACAAACATTTTACTTGTACAACAGATTCATGCTATACAGAGATCTTAGTAATGCAAGGGGCAGTGTTCAACTAACTGCCATTCTTAAAGTGTAAAATCTGAAGGAGATGAACCGTGTTCAATGGTTAACTGTAACTAATCCTCTGTGATTCTTCTTACATTTAGTTTGAAACTGTCTTTGTAACATATCCTTTTAAAGTGTCCCCCAAACTAAATTTAGTTGAATTTCGTTACTATTGATAGATATATCTTCAGACAGCGTTGAATAGGAACACTTTAATTACAATCACTCGATAGATCTTGAAGCTGTTTCGATAAGTGTTGTATAGCGGTTTTAGACACTAAAATGATAAAATTATGTTTGAGTACATTTCTAAGAGCACTCATAAAAAATTTATTTTAACAACATCTAAAGTTATGGAATAAGGTATGCTTAAAATAATATTGTAAACTCGAAATGTAAAACTCCGTGATAACAATAAACTTGTTATGAAATGAAATTCTGTTCATGAAACTTTTCAGAAACTGTCTTCATAATAACGGAGCCCATCAGTGGCCAAGCAGTTTCGTTCCCTGAACACTAGTAGTTCGGGTAGTGGGCCAGGACGGGCTGGCCAAGTGGAGTTTTTCGGGTTTTCTTCACGTCTGTAACTCCTAAATATGAGCCAGTTACTCTTAAAAAAAACCTCCCGGAAGGCATCCCCTAGGAAGATCGCCTAAGTGTTGGGTTGCCATAACTTAACAAACAAACAAGTATCATATCAAGAGTACAGAAAATACTATTTTTTAAAAAAAGAAAAGTAATAATAATTTCTTCAATCCTGATTCGGCACATTCACAAACAACAAAAATCACTACACTAATATAGTGTAAGTACTTTTCAGTAATAGATTATAACTTGACTAAATGATATATTCATATACAATTTTAGACAATTAAAATTTACTAAAGACAATTATAAGCAGAAATACAATACAGGTATTAAAATTTTCTACAAGCTCTTTGAAATAATATTATTAATATAAAAAAATTTTATTTTATATCCTGTAAAATATTTTTTCCTATCCTAAAAACATTAATAAAAGATTTCAAATTATATTATTCATTAAATGCGTTTTTATTATCTTTAAAAATATATTTAATATCTGTCAAAAGGTAATTTATTTTAAATTCGATAATATTTATACTGTAATAGTTCATACAACTTGACACGTGATTGTCCAGGCAATAAAAATATCAGTCTATCGTTCTACTAAATTTCTATTTGATTTCAAAATGGCTCAGAAAATTTCCGGATGAGTTGATCTGAATATGCTAAGTGTGATTCCTCATCATTCGATCTCTCCCATTGTGGGCTCAGACCGAACCCATATTAGGCATGGAAAAGTCCCACAGAGTGGAATATAGGCTTATATATAGCCTAGTTTTCGTTAATAATTTGATAATAGATTATTCGCATATGTTCTGTTAATAAATTTTAATTAATCATTTAACATTTATTATAATTCTTTATTAAAATATTGATCTATCTTCATTTTATTTATATATATTTCATCCCGATTATGCATATACCCAAGTAAGAAAACTTAAAATTTAAATGGAATTAATCGATTATACATCGTATTCTTTCCATAAATAACGAGCTTCCGATTTTCCTAATTTCTCTCTAAATCTTTCATCCATTCTTCTCGCCTGATCTTCACTCATATAGTTTTTCCAATCACCTATTTCACCTTTTCTTATGAAATCAGGCATATTTTCAGGTCTTTCGGAACTCCAAGCTGTTTTATGTGTCGCTTTCATGGCATTAAAATGACTATTTTTTACTACTTTTTCTAAAATAGCATTGTTATCTACGGAATTAGCAAATTTTCCTTCTAAAAAGTAACCAATTTTACGAATATTGGATTCGGGATCAGTTTTAATATCCTCGTATAATAAGAATAATACATTATCGTCGTCTTTATGCGAATACCAAGATAATAGATTGTCGAAATAATCTTTAGAATCAACTTGGCCTGTAATGAATAATTCGAAATAGTCGTCAAATGTACCATTCTCAAAATTATAATGTTTAGGGAATCCTTTAGTATGATGATAAAAAGATATACAACAATCTTTGGGATTTCGAGCAATGTAAATATACTTAGATTTACTATTATATGGAGTCAAGTAAAAGGGTAAATGTATTTTGATTATTCTAGGTTTTACCATTTTCATTACAAATTCAGCCCCTTTTTCTTCTAAGTGTGGGGCAAAATCATGAATGCTCTGCCCTTTCTCAATTGGCTTTCCTTCATTCCACAATAGAAATAAAATATATTGGCACCAAGTGGTACCGCATTTAGGATAGGTGGATATAAATATATCTCCATCTTCGGCCGGGTATTTCAATCCTGAATAATAGCTCTCCAAAGAAAAACTTCTTGGAAGGATATATCCATCATTTGCTACATTGTAAGAAGGAATATTCCTCGTCGAAGCCATCTGCAAAAAATTGATGGCGATTAATGCCTAATCTATTTTTGTTTCCAATTTCTTGTGTCAGATGAAACAGAAAATTTTTATGCAAAATATATTGTACATATAATATTTAAATAAGAAATAAATAAAATAAATATTTTTATATAAATTTAAACACGCATAAGGTATATAAAGTTAAAATGATCAAGATAAAAATGTAAGCATCCAATTAAGTGTAATTTGATAGAAATATGCTTCTTGTCTTGTTGAAATTTATTGTTATCAAGCTTCTACAATCTGAGGACATCAATTAGAAGCCAATACATAAGCTTGATAACATTAAAGTGTAAATTTCTTGCTGCAATTTATCCTAATAGGTTCGTGTGCCATAAAACAATAAATAACTAATTGGCAATTTTGTATCAATTTATCATTACCAAGTTAAAAGAAATATTGTGTTTATTGATTTATACATCATTTATACATGAAATTTATTAAATGTAATTTCAATTCATGTTGTTCTTCTTTATACACAAAATATATAGAAATATCCTTTACATAAAGAAAAATAAATAAATTTGTTTCATACATACTTTATTAAGATTATTTATAATGTAGTTTACAAAAACACCAAAATTTTCATAATAATTTTTCTCAATTAATCCTTATCCTCTCTGCACTTTTGCTATGGCCGTTCATGAAAATTTTGTAACTCTATTTCATCAAAATGGCACATTTTTTTCCGTTGTCTTACAATTATTCATCACTTTTTGAAAAAATAAAATAAAAAATATGTTAGGAATATCCTTTCTGTTGTCTTTCTGATCTGAATGCTTTAGTACGAGAAGACTGTTTTTACTTATCTATTCTTGAAGATAATGGTTGAAATAAACCAATATAAAATATACTCCATTATCGTCGATTATTACATTTTTTGTCTCTAATTTTCTGTTAACAATTTCTTTCTTTCGTTAAATTATTTATGGCAATTTATGGATTAAATGTTGTAAAATATTACAACATTTAATTCATAAATCCACGTTACTTTCCCAGCTGTTATGCATACAGCCGGGTACAGATTTGACCCTCTGGTATTTTTGCAAATCTCCACATTTTAAAAAAATTCATCTCTACCTTCAAAATTAAACCTTTTTTTTTATGTCTTTTTTATAATAATGATTAATATAAAATTAAAGAACTAAATATTTAAGATTTCTGTACTTTTGATAAACCTAGTTCGAAATCCATATACAAATAATACAAAATCTAATTTATTTAAAATTCATTAACTTATTTAAAAACGTTGGTATTGGAACTCGAATTTTAAAATGCATAGAAAAATCACAATCTTTAGAAACTACTTCATTGTTAATTCAAGAAGAAAGCATCTTAATTCTAAATTCCATTAAATATTTACAATCAAAGCATTTTATATGCTTTAAAATCATTTCGAAGTATATATTTTCCATTGATTTTACACTTGTTTCTAATTCACTTTCTTGTCTTTTATGAATATTTTTTCCATGTTTAATATATAATAGAAGACAGAGAGTAAATCTATTCAGAATATTTCATTTTTGGATGATTTTGCAATATGAGTAACATAAGATATTGGCATTTTCCTTCTTTTAGTAAAAATTTTCATTGTATATTTTATCACATTTATAATTTTTAAAAATAATGTTTATTATTTTAAGTATATTAAAGTAAATAATGCTTGAACTTATAGCTTTCCTTTAAGCTCTTTTTTTTTATTCTTAAAGGAAAGCTATAAGCTGTAGCATATAAGCTATTACAATGTTTTATGAAAATTGCCTTAAATATCTTAACATCTTACGAATACATTCTTACCAGATGAAAAAATTACAAATGGAGGACAAATTGTTCTGGCAAGTAGGACATTACGCTATATTTGGGTACAGGAAGATATTTTTTTAAATTCAAAAGGAAGAACAAATGCACCAAATGAACATCTGGTAATCAAGCGGAGAACATATAATCCTTTTGCATACCATACGGTAACCTTATACCAATATAAATGAGATTTATTTTTATATAACCCCTACAGTATGTATCAAAATATGTAAAACATCATACATGTACCTATATTAAAAGTGGAAGCTTCTAATTTATTTCTTAAAGTTAAAATCATGCCTTAATTTTCAAGGAAAGTAACCAACCACGTGATACTTATCCAGCTGATGTAAAACGTGGCAGCAAAATGACTGTAGCGCCACTATGTGTAATACAGTACAGTACAAACAATATATAAAAGTCCTGAGGAAAGGACAACAGAATGGTTTAGTTTGGGCTTCATACTTATGGGATTCAGAAATCATTTATTAAAAATTATTCATATCATTAAAATTTATTCTATATTTTAAAAGGAAAAAAATACTCGATAAAATTTTTAAATACAGTAGTTTCAAAGTGTAGATATATCTTCCATATCTTTACTGCTAAAATCCTTTCAAACTTAAATATCTTCAGATAGTAAGTTTAATTCCGGACTTATCAAGACAAGAATGAAGCCAACAGAGTTTTGTACAGTCGACCTCCCTCTATAACACTGTTGATTATTCCATTTTATATGAATTCCATGTTGTACGAGTCACTTAGATTTTACAAATACGTGTGCCGGGCTGTGAACGGCTCACATATTTGTAAAATCTAAGTGACTCGTACAACATGGAATTCATATAAAACGGAATTATCAATAGAGTTATAGGGGGGTCGACTGTATTTATACTTAACCTATCCCTATGTAAAGGTCATTACCCTAAATTTTCAGAACTGTTTTCTTATTTCATAAAAATAATCAAGAAGAATTACTTTAGAATTTCTTTATAAACATAATCAAATAACTTATTTACATATTTGAAAATAAAAAAAAAATTGCTTATATACTAAGAAGTATGAACAAAATTTCTTTTATAATAATTAGATATCAGAAGTTAATTATATTTATTATAAAATTCTAAATTATTCTTGAATATTTAAAGTTTTATAACTTAAAAATTCTATTAATTCCCTGAAAAAACGTAAGTCTAAAACATTAATTACTTAACTATTTTATAAAGCGCTGTTATAAAGAATATTCTGTTAATTTTAATAATTATATATTATGTATTGAACAGTATATTAAATAATAAAGTATTGTTTTAAGTATATTTTGCATGCTTTGATATTAAAACATATTTTTTAAGTATAAATCGAATGATATTATCAAAAAGAAAACGTGTCCGGGGAAAAGAGGACACGTGGTAATCTTATTGTAATCAACAATTAAAAAAAATAAAATAAAAGCACGAGAAATATAATTTTTCCTTCCTTTCTTATCGTTATTAATAAATTAATAATGATGACAAGAGAAAAATGATTGATATGCAAGAGATAACATTTTGATATAATTGAACAAATGTAATTCTTTGATAAAGATAAATTTCTCTTATCACGTCATTTATTTTATTTTTAATAAAAACATTTAAATAAAACTAATTATTTTCTTATAATACTATATTAACTGCAATATTATTTCAAAAAAAACTACACATTTGAAAACAATTTCTATTATGGCCAAATTAGGTGTTTTTCAAGTGTTAACTAAACAAATAATATGTAAATTACAACACAACATTATAACAAAGATAAATAACTTTGCATTACTGTATATTTTATGTGTAAAAAGTTAAATTTGGGACGTAAGAATGGGTTATAAGAAAATTCATAACGGCATAATTTCATATGTTTTTGCTTTTCTACACTTTATCAAATTATCAAACTTACATAACCTTTTTAATATACTTATACATATAATTCTTATTACTTGTGTTTCAGTTTAGCACAACACTCGATTTAGTACTACAACGTTGTAATTTCGATGGTAAACAAATAGTAGTTTGACTGTTTCTTAAGTATTTTCCCATTCTTAATACTATAAAATGCATTATTTTATAAATAATTTTCATTCCAGTAAGTTTTAAAGAAATAAAAAAGACTGTAAATAATTGTACAGAATTATTATGAAACAGTAATATATTTTCAATAACTTAAATAAAGCATTTTTCTTTTATCTTTAGCCTAATAATTGTGCATAAGCTTAGTCTGTATTAAAATTGAGGTATTTATATTGATTTGATAAAAAAATATTTTATTCTCTAACAAATTAATCAAGTATCTAGAACACTCCGAAATTGAGATGTTTTTAATTTGTTATTTTAATTTCTTTTAAATAGAAATAAAGAATACATTGAATAAGCTCTATTGATAGAATTTAACGCCATTTATTATCATCTAAATGTAGTTCTAATATCTGTTAAATACTACTTACAGTAATTAATTTGGAAATTCTGTGGGATTAACTGGGACTTTCTAACGTAAATTAACAAGTCAATAATTAAATTAATAATGTAACTTTTATAGCTAAACACTAGCAATTTGTGTAATCTATCGCATTTAGAATTCTCATTTATACTCTTATTTTAACAAATGATAACGACACTTTTTATAGTTATGTTTTAATCAGGTCCTATCATGGAGGAACCAGCAAATTGTATGAAATTGTACAGTACCTCAATTATATGCTGTATTAAGTAAAAACAAAAATCTTTATTTATCATCAAATTTTATTAAAGAATGTAATGCACTTTTTAAACTTCTTCTTAAATAATAAAGTTTGACCAAAAAAAAAACAATAAATATATACAGTATATACAGAAGAAAAAGGGCTTAAAGAGGTAAATAGCCCAGAACACTTATCTTTTTAAAATCCTATTATATCAAAACATTCTATCGCCCTCTCAGAGATTCCAGGAGATTCTGAGATTCACAACTTTATAATTGAAACATAATGTAATTTATTCAACAACTGCCTCATGTCATCTAATAAAAAAAACTCCTTTCCCTTCTGCTACCGAGCATTTGTAAGCTTGTATTTTCATTGTCTGGAAAAATAGCTGGGACAATACAATACGCTGTTTCTCCTCGACTCCCTCCCCACCAGAGTTAATTATTATTAAAAAAAAACCTTCTACAAGACTGAAATCTATCAAAATGGAAGTTTTGTAGAAGGTTGTTCAGAGCCGTGTAGAAGTACTATGGGTCGGTGTAAGGGGTCGATTTGTCTATATCAAGACAATAATAATAAATATATTACTTATGTATATAATATAATCGTCAATGTACATATTTTTATAATATATTTCTTTAAATATTTATTTTAAAAATTGATAACAAATTGTCTAAACATTTGAGAAAGTAAAATTATAATTAAAATTGAAAGTTATCTTAGTTGATTGAAGTTGAATATAATATTATTATTATAAATAATATAAAACAAATAATATTATTCTGACAAATTATATAAATGGAAACAACAACTTATCTTAAGAATTATTTGATATAAATTAAAAATCTATTTTATAATCAATTTAATAATCCAGACAATCGAAAATTTAACTTGAAAACTGTATAATAAAGCCAAATTTACATTTAAGATAAGCTATATCTAAGAACCTCACGCGACAACGTACAGCTTAATTAACACCTCATGCTTTTAAATAGATTATTATTTGAGAAAGAAGTACCTCTTATGTATTGTAATAACCATTACAATTCTAAATAGCCGCTGTTTATAGTGTTAAAAGATTGACATATAATATAACAAGTTACAATTAAGAACCTCATGCTATACGTCTACAGCTTAGAACCTCACCATAAGTGTATGTCTACGGTGAGGCTTTAAGCCGTGTAATGTGACGTTCTAAGTTTAAATTTATTACTATTTCAAGGAGAAGAACCTCTTATAACAACGATAACAAGTCTAAATCGACCCTATTTATAATACTAAAAGAGTAAACTGAGAAGACCAAGAATTCAAATTTTTTTTTTTTTTTAATTATACGAGTCTAACATTTAATTAAAAACAATCGACAACGTATAAACGAATTCTATAATTTTTTTTTTTAATAAAGACATTTATTTCCTTTACAATGAACTCACCTCGTTATTTAGAAAGTCGCAATCCGTTCAAAGTTTAACCATCAGAAGGGAGGAACATCCTGTAGTCATTCAGTCAAACGCTATTCATTGTCTGATCAATCACGTTTCCACCAAGATAAGATAAAGTCTTTAAGATAAAATTAGTCCTTCAACCCTTATAGACCTAGCTTAAATGTTCAATGACTCTTACAAGAAGCTTATGTTCATTAATTGGTTTACAAAATATTAGTTTTTGTCAAATAGTATGCTTAATTTCTAACTTGTTATAGGTTATCCCTATCAATAAATTATCTCTGTTGCTATATACTTATTCCATTACAAATATAGGCAGAAGAGCGTGAATAACAGATGCAAGGTTAAACTGTTGCTAGGGTAATCGTCCCACATAAGAGAACATTCATCCCTCTATTGAGTGCATGTATCGTAATATCCAGGAAATCCGTTATTTTCTTTGTTTAATTACATTATTTAGCTAATTAATTCTAGTGTTAAAGACTTTATATTTTTATTTTTTCTATGAGAAAATTAATTGTAAAACTTTAGTGCCATGCGTATTAAAAATAAGATCATGGTAACAGTCAGATTATCTCAAATTATCATTTATAGCAAATATATGTTTTATATATATATTTATATAGGCCTATGTGTATGTGTGTGTGTGTGTGTGTGTGTGTGTGTGTGTGTGTGTGGTAATGGTCCTAAAGTTAGTTAACATTTTAATCGTTTTTAAATGATGTTAAAAATGTATTTTGGTAAACTAACTTTTGAGCCATCCCATACATAAATGTTTTCAATGTAGAAACAATTCATTTAATGTTTTTAAACAGTTAATCAGATATTATATTACTTAAAATATTTAGTTAGACCTATTTATAAATATTTAACTACAAGATAACACGTTTCTATTTATCTCTCTAGGCGTGTTGTATGATACCTCTTATTTATAGCAACTATAAAATGTCCTTTATAGAATTTAATTTATACATTTATTTTTTTAATATTTTAAATAAATAAATAATAAAAATAATTAAATCATAATTTATTTATCGTTTATATTATAACATCGTAGAGAATTTTCAATGACAACATTCAGATCCTATCAAAGAAAGATCTACAGAATCATTTGGTAGGACCTATTCTAGACAAAGCCGTACAATATTGCCCTTTTTCTATGTTAAACATGTGTTCTTTAAAACGTTTATTAAAGGTTTCTATTTGTAAACCATATATATTTTTTCTCCAAACATAATTGTTCGTTTTTATACGAGATTTCTGTATACCCCAGCCTGCTCTCCTCCATTTTTAGCTTTATCATTCCTTAAAAGGCTATAAATGATAGGAGCTCTCTTGAAAACCAATTGGGATTCTTTATAGTCCGCATCAATATTAATTTTAGCATTATTGACATTTAAAAAAAAAGAAAAATGTTTACTTCTACAATACACTTTCTCATTTAGCATCTGAAATTATATGTCTTTTTCAGCTTCTCCTTCGTTACGTCTATTTTAATAACAATAATTATTTATAAACTACCTCCTTATTAATATTATTTATAATATCAATTATAACTACTTCCTAATAATAGCCTGTCTCGCATATTTTTTTTTTTTTAAAAATAATAATATGAAGTATAAGTAGAACCAAAGAAACAGAAGTAAAGTTAAAGTTGTAGTCTAGTATTTAGGATTTGAATTCATGTAATAAAATAATAATTATAAAGTCTAGTAAAAATATAGAGAGATCAGGTAGGCCCAGTTTTAGAGCCTGTGACAGATTATATCATTGTTTCACAAGAGAAATTAATATACTAAATGAAAGAAAAGACAGGATATTATAGAATAAAAAAATAACATTGTCCATTAATGATTAAATTTTAAATCTTTCTGTTTGTGTAATTTTATTACTTACAATGACAGGATACATCACTTCAGCCTTCAATTTATAAAATTATCAGGAATTGATGGTAAATTAGTAAAGAAATATATCCATATTTGGATAAGAATTAAATTCGTTGAGAAAAATAAATGAATTAAATTTATTTTATGCACTTTATTTTGCCCAGAAAACAGAGAAGAATATAGATTTATTGAAGAGTGAAGCTTTAATCTTATTTATAAAAGTACATACAGTAAGTACATCATTATAAATTTATTTAAAATATTATAAGTAGATTATTTTATTTATTAATTGATGATATTAAAATAAAAATAATTAATTATTAATGTATTACATAAACAAGTTTTCTGAAGCTGTAGTTTTTTTTTTTTTTAATATACATTATTTATTTATTAAAAATTTTATTATATTACTTTATTTCTAAGCATTTTTTTTTCTTACATATTGTGTAATCATGGATTACATAAAAGTGATGTAATTACTTATATATAAAATTTCCAAGAAATTTTATTGCTGAAACAACTTTATTCCTTATTTCATGTAGAAAAATATCAAAGTTCGATTTAGTACGTGCTTATTCTCAATTAAGTTCCTTGTAAATCAACTTAAACTAAAATGGTTCGATCATATAATCGATCATACACAATCGTATCGATCAAAGTTTCGATTTTAATTCAATTCAATTCAAGGAAGAACTTATTTTAAAAACGTCTCTTGTCCAAATTTTTCAAAATTGAGATAGTGATTTATTCGGATTCATAAATGGTTTCTTCTTTCATATCTGCTATAATTCTATTTCAAAACGTTGTATAAATCATGAAAATTATCTTGATATTTTCTAAAAATAAATACATTATTTGTAATTACAGTAGAGCGTCGTTTATCCGAATCAATTGGGGACTGGGTTATTCGGATAACTTATTTTCGGATAACCGATTACGTACGAAAAAATAATACCTATCCCATGTTGAAATTTTTCTCCATTGTGTGTCGCTTCGCGTTGAATTTTCGTCGATGTTAAGCCTAACGTAAACTTTTTAAAATAATAATCGTGGCTATTGTATCGTTAAAAATTATTTTTTTATTTTGTACAAACAAATTAAATATATTGAAAAATATAAAAGAAAAACACCACACAAAAGTGCCAGTGCTACCAGCTAAAACACACACATCCACAAAAAAATATATTGGAGTAGCCCAAGATATAGCCAAAGATTACAGCGCCACAGCACTAGCGAAAATTTAAATTTGCCGACTGGAATTCTTTCGAATAACCGACTTTCGGATAAACGATGCTCTACTGTATTATTGAATTTGGGTGTACTATAGATTGCACCCTATGGAATTTCGGGACTTTGAGTATATATCTGAACTGAGGGGACCGAGACGAGTTCAACGATACCCTACTTTTGAACCGGAGACGAAAAATAAGAAAGTTATCATATTTATTTAATGCTATCATGCAGACGGTACCGTAGTTACTAGTTCCGCCATCTTGCGGAAAAATCTGAAAACCTTTTTTAAAAGGTTTTCAGATTTTTTAGTGATGTAACGAATATTCGGTTACTATTCGGTATTCGGCCTATTTTTCGCTATTCGGCCGAATACCGAATACCTAAAAACAGGAGTAAGAAATAACAAAAACACAGTAAATTAATCATTTTGGTATTTAGATTTAATGTTNACATATTTTTTAAGTATAAATCGAATGATATTATCAAAAAGAAAACGTGTCCGGGGAAAAGAGGACACGTGGTAATCTTATTGTAATCAACAATTAAAAAAAATAAAATAAAAGCACGAGAAATATAATTTTTCCTTCCTTTCTTATCGTTATTAATAAATTAATAATGATGACAAGAGAAAAATGATTGATATGCAAGAGATAACATTTTGATATAATTGAACAAATGTAATTCTTTGATAAAGATAAATTTCTCTTATCACGTCATTTATTTTATTTTTAATAAAAACATTTAAATAAAACTAATTATTTTCTTATAATACTATATTAACTGCAATATTATTTCAAAAAAAAACTACACATTTGAAAACAATTTCTATTATGGCCAAATTAGGTGTTTTTCAAGTGTTAACTAAACAAATAATATGTAAATTACAACACAACATTATAACAAAGATAAATAACTTTGCATTACTGTATATTTTATGTGTAAAAAGTTAAATTTGGGACGTAAGAATGGGTTATAAGAAAATTCATAACGGCATAATTTCATATGTTTTTGCTTTTCTACACTTTATCAAATTATCAAACTTACATAACCTTTTTAATATACTTATACATATAATTCTTATTACTTGTGTTTCAGTTTAGCACAACACTCGATTTAGTACTACAACGTTGTAATTTCGATGGTAAACAAATAGTAGTTTGACTGTTTCTTAAGTATTTTCCCATTCTTAATACTATAAAATGCATTATTTTATAAATAATTTTCATTCCAGTAAGTTTTAAAGAAATAAAAAAGACTGTAAATAATTGTACAGAATTATTATGAAACAGTAATATATTTTCAATAACTTAAATAAAGCATTTTTCTTTTATCTTTAGCCTAATAATTGTGCATAAGCTTAGTCTGTATTAAAATTGAGGTATTTATATTGATTTGATAAAAAAATATTTTATTCTCTAACAAATTAATCAAGTATCTAGAACACTCCGAAATTGAGATGTTTTTAATTTGTTATTTTAATTTCTTTTAAATAGAAATAAAGAATACATTGAATAAGCTCTATTGATAGAATTTAACGCCATTTATTATCATCTAAATGTAGTTCTAATATCTGTTAAATACTACTTACAGTAATTAATTTGGAAATTCTGTGGGATTAACTGGGACTTTCTAACGTAAATTAACAAGTCAATAATTAAATTAATAATGTAACTTTTATAGCTAAACACTAGCAATTTGTGTAATCTATCGCATTTAGAATTCTCATTTATACTCTTATTTTAACAAATGATAACGACACTTTTTATAGTTATGTTTTAATCAGGTCCTATCATGGAGGAACCAGCAAATTGTATGAAATTGTACAGTACCTCAATTATATACTGTATTAAGTAAAAACAAAAATCTTTATTTATCATCAAATTTTATTAAAGAATGTAATGCACTTTTTAAACTTCTTCTTAAATAATAAAATTTGACCAAAAAAAAAAAACAATAAATATATACAGTATATACAGAAGAAAAAGGGCTTAAAGAGGTAAATAGCCCAGAACACTTATCTTTTTAAAATCCTATTATATCAAAACATTCTATCGCCCTCTCAGAGATTCCAGGAGATTCTGAGATTCACAACTTTATAATTGAAACATAATGTAATTTATTCAACAACTGCCTCATGTCATCTAATAAAAAAAACTCCTTTCCCTTCTGCTACCGAGCATTTGTAAGCTCGTATTTTCATTGTCTGGAAAAATAGCTGGGACAATACAATACGCTGTTTCTCCTCGACTCCCTCCCCACCAGAGTTAATTATTATTAAAAAAAAACCTTCTACAAGACTGAAATCTATCAAAATGGAAGTTTTGTAGAAGGTTGTTCAGAGCCGTGTAGAAGTACTATGGGTCGGTGTAAGGGGTCGATTTGTCTATATCAAGACAATAATAATAAATATATTACTTATGTATATAATATAATCGTCAATGTACATATTTTTATAATATATTTCTTTAAATATTTATTTTAAAAATTGATAACAAATTGTCTAAACATTTGAGAAAGTAAAATTATAATTAAAATTGAAAGTTATCTTAGTTGATTGAAGTTGAATATAATATTATTATTATAAATAATATAAAACAAATAATATTATTCTGACAAATTATATAAATGGAAACAACAACTTATCTTAAGAATTATTTGATATAAATTAAAAATCTATTTTATAATCAATTTAATAATCCAGACAATCGAAAATTTAACTTGAAAACTGTATAATAAAGCCAAATTTACATTTAAGATAAGCTATATCTAAGAACCTCACGCGACAACGTACAGCTTAATTAACACCTCATGCTTTTAAATAGATTATTATTTGAGAAAGAAGTACCTCTTATGTATTGTAATAACCATTACAATTCTAAATAGCCGCTGTTTATAGTGTTAAAAGATTGACATATAATATAACAAGTTACAATTAAGAACCTCATGCTATACGTCTACAGCTTAGAACCTCACCATAAGTGTATGTCTACGGTGAGGCTTTAAGCCGTGTAATGTGACGTTCTAAGTTTAAATTTATTACTATTTCAAGGAGAAGAACCTCTTATAACAACGATAACAAGTCTAAATCGACCCTATTTATAATACTAAAAGAGTAAACTGAGAAGACCAAGAATTCAAATTTTTTTTTTTTTTTTATATATNTTTTAAATAAATAAATAATAAAAATAATTAAATCATAATTTATTTATCGTTTATATTATAACATCGTAGAGAATTTTCAATGACAACATTCAGATCCTATCAAAGAAAGATCTACAGAATCATTTGGTAGGACCTATTCTAGACAAAGCCGTACAATATTGCCCTTTTTCTATGTTAAACATGTGTTCTTTAAAACGTTTATTAAAGGTTTCTATTTGTAAACCATATATATTTTTTCTCCAAACATAATTGTTCGTTTTTATACGAGATTTCTGTATACCCCAGCCTGCTCTCCTCCATTTTTAGCTTTATCATTCCTTAAAAGGCTATAAATGATAGGAGCTCTCTTGAAAACCAATTGGGATTCTTTATAGTCCGCATCAATATTAATTTTAGCATTATTGACATTTAAAAAAAAAGAAAAATGTTTACTTCTACAATACACTTTCTCATTTAGCATCTGAAATTATATGTCTTTTTCAGCTTCTCCTTCGTTACGTCTATTTTAATAACAATAATTATTTATAAACTACCTCCTTATTAATATTATTTATAATATCAATTATAACTACTTCCTAATAATAGCCTGTCTCGCATATTTTTTTTTTTTTAAAAATAATAATATGAAGTATAAGTAGAACCAAAGAAACAGAAGTAAAGTTAAAGTTGTAGTCTAGTATTTAGGATTTGAATTCATGTAATAAAATAATAATTATAAAGTCTAGTAAAAATATAGAGAGATCAGGTAGGCCCAGTTTTAGAGCCTGTGACAGATTATATCATTGTTTCACAAGAGAAATTAATATACTAAATGAAAGAAAAGACAGGATATTATAGAATAAAAAAATAACATTGTCCATTAATGATTAAATTTTAAATCTTTCTGTTTGTGTAATTTTATTACTTACAATGACAGGATACATCACTTCAGCCTTCAATTTATAAAATTATCAGGAATTGATGGTAAATTAGTAAAGAAATATATCCATATTTGGATAAGAATTAAATTCGTTGAGAAAAATAAATGAATTAAATTTATTTTATGCACTTTATTTTGCCCAGAAAACAGAGAAGAATATAGATTTATTGAAGAGTGAAGCTTTAATCTTATTTATAAAAGTACATACAGTAAGTACATCATTATAAATTTATTTAAAATATTATAAGTAGATTATTTTATTTATTAATTGATGATATTAAAATAAAAATAATTAAATCATAATTTATTTATCGTTTATATTATAACATCGTAGAGAATTTTCAATGACAACATTCAGATCCTATCAAAGAAAGATCTACAGAATCATTTGGTAGGACCTATTCTAGACAAAGCCGTACAATATTGCCCTTTTTCTATGTTAAACATGTGTTCTTTAAAACGTTTATTAAAGGTTTCTATTTGTAAACCATATATATTTTTTCTCCAAACATAATTGTTCGTTTTTATACGAGATTTCTGTATACCCCAGCCTGCTCTCCTCCATTTTTAGCTTTATCATTCCTTAAAAGGCTATAAATGATAGGAGCTCTCTTGAAAACCAATTGGGATTCTTTATAGTCCGCATCAATATTAATTTTAGCATTATTGACATTTAAAAAAAAAGAAAAATGTTTACTTCTACAATACACTTTCTCATTTAGCATCTGAAATTATATGTCTTTTTCAGCTTCTCCTTCGTTACGTCTATTTTAATAACAATAATTATTTATAAACTACCTCCTTATTAATATTATTTATAATATCAATTATAACTACTTCCTAATAATAGCCTGTCTCGCATATTTTTTTTTTTTTAAAAATAATAATATGAAGTATAAGTAGAACCAAAGAAACAGAAGTAAAGTTAAAGTTGTAGTCTAGTATTTAGGATTTGAATTCATGTAATAAAATAATAATTATAAAGTCTAGTAAAAATATAGAGAGATCAGGTAGGCCCAGTTTTAGAGCCTGTGACAGATTATATCATTGTTTCACAAGAGAAATTAATATACTAAATGAAAGAAAAGACAGGATATTATAGAATAAAAAAATAACATTGTCCATTAATGATTAAATTTTAAATCTTTCTGTTTGTGTAATTTTATTACTTACAATGACAGGATACATCACTTCAGCCTTCAATTTATAAAATTATCAGGAATTGATGGTAAATTAGTAAAGAAATATATCCATATTTGGATAAGAATTAAATTCGTTGAGAAAAATAAATGAATTAAATTTATTTTATGCACTTTATTTTGCCCAGAAAACAGAGAAGAATATAGATTTATTGAAGAGTGAAGCTTTAATCTTATTTATAAAAGTACATACAGTAAGTACATCATTATAAATTTATTTAAAATATTATAAGTAGATTATTTTATTTATTAATTGATGATATTAAAATAAAAATAATTAATTATTAATGTATTACATAAACAAGTTTTCTGAAGCTGTAGTTTTTTTTTTTTTTAATATACATTATTTATTTATTAAAAATTTTATTATATTACTTTATTTCTAAGCATTTTTTTTTCTTACATATTGTGTAATCATGGATTACATAAAAGTGATGTAATTACTTATATATAAAATTTCCAAGAAATTTTATTGCTGAAACAACTTTATTCCTTATTTCATGTAGAAAAATATCAAAGTTCGATTTAGTACGTGCTTATTCTCAATTAAGTTCCTTGTAAATCAACTTAAACTAAAATGGTTCGATCATATAATCGATCATACACAATCGTATCGATCAAAGTTTCGATTTTAATTCAATTCAATTCAAGGAAGAACTTATTTTAAAAACGTCTCTTGTCCAAATTTTTCAAAATTGAGATAGTGATTTATTCGGATTCATAAATGGTTTCTTCTTTCATATCTGCTATAATTCTATTTCAAAACGTTGTATAAATCATGAAAATTATCTTGATATTTTCTAAAAATAAATACATTATTTGTAATTACAGTAGAGCGTCGTTTATCCGAATCAATTGGGGACTGGGTTATTCGGATAACTTATTTTCGGATAACCGATTACGTACGAAAAAATAATACCTATCCCATGTTGAAATTTTTCTCCATTGTGTGTCGCTTCGCGTTGAATTTTCGTCGATGTTAAGCCTAACGTAAACTTTTTAAAATAATAATCGTGGCTATTGTATCGTTAAAAATTATTTTTTTATTTTGTACGAACAAAATAAATATATTTAAAAATTTAAAAACAATAAAAAATTATACTTCAGAAGTTAATTTAGTATCAAAAACGTAAAATATTTGAGTAGCCCAAAACATAGCCAAAGATTGCAGCGCCATAGCACTGGCGAAAATTTAAATTTGCCGACTGGAATTTTTTCGGATGATTGACTTTCGGATAATCGACGCTCTACTATATATATATTAGTGATGTAACGAATATTCGGTTACTATTCGGTATTCGGCCTATTTTTCGCTATTCGGCCGAATACCGAATACCTAAAAACAGGAGTAAGAAATAACAAAAACACAGTAAATTAATCATTTTGGTATTTAGATTTAATGTTATCGGGTTAGCGTTGTTTGTTTATATTTATTTATAACTTATAACATGCAGAAAATAAAAAAGAGCATAATATTAGTCACTTGTATTCACAATTTATAATTACAAAGATCAGCACACGTACACACCTATTCGTTCGAGAATCGTCGTGCATTCGAGGGTCTGACCCTGCCTATCTTTCTTTTTAAGCGCTCCTCTTTGCTCTTCCTTTTCTTTCCTCTATCGCTCTAGTCCACGTATGCCTATGCATACATCATAATACGCCCTCACGATACTTTCGATTCGTCACTTTTCCGTCGTAGATTTCCCATTTTACAATTGCGTGACTCATAGCCTGGTGATAACGGAGAAAAGAGACAGAGAGGACGTCGGTAAAAGTCATAGTTATGATTTCACAGATTCGAAACAGCTCGGTAGCCCGAACGACCCCAGGCTTTCTCCCATGCACGCTAAGTGACTTTTATTACAAGCATTTAGCTTTTCGAAGTCTATGACAACAATTATTTGGCATTCACGGCCGCAAATTTCGCGCAAATAAGCTGCCTCGACTTGTTCGAAGCAGCTTATTGAGTTGATAACATAATCGACTTGTTCGATTATGTTATCAACTCAATCGACTTGTTCGATTATGATATCAGCTCAATTTCATATTTATTTTCACATTTTCACTTTGCGGTCCTTCTCTGTTCTTCTTCCGTTATTTGCACGTGTAGGTCATTTCATTGTTATCCAGATTTGATATCATCATTTATCATACTGCCATGACGCTCTTGTCTGAACTGTCAAAAATTAACTCGATTGGCGAAGCGTAGTGACAGCGGGCCAATAGAGAGCAGGGTCCTTGCCATAATGCGGTTTGCGTGCCAATTTTCGTACGTGCGTTGCGTTAATCGAGCCGAATAGTTTGGTCGAATATTCGGCTATTCGGCCACAATCCTGGCCGAATATTCGGTATTCAGCCTGAGGCCGAATATACTATTCGTTGCAACACTAGTTTTCAGACTTTACGCTTTTTTTAAAAGGTTTTCAGACTTTACCGCAAGATGGCGGAACTAGTAAATACGGTGCCGTCTGCATGATAGCATTAAATAAATATGATAACTTTCTTATTTTTCGTCTCCGGTTCAAAAGTAGAGTATCGTTGAACTCGTCTCGGTCCCGAAATTCCATAGGGTGCAATCTATAGTATTCCCAAATAATTTATTGTTAATTTAAAATCATCGCTGGGACGCCCCTAGTGTGCGTTTTAGGCAATTGGTACCGTTACAGATGTGACGCGACAATGGCTTACGATATATATACGTATATATCGTATATATAGATAGATACGTGCGACTAGATGTCCAGATGGCACAATGCGCCGATTGGTCAGCTGAATGACGTCAACCCACCGAAATCTATTAGCCTAAACTTCGTGTTGTTGTTGTTGTTGTTGTTGTTGTTGTTGTTGTTGTTGTGAGAGCAAACAGGCATTACAAACATTTTTTCTAAAACTTGATAAAAGGCACTTACAGTACAGTAGAGCGTCGTTTATCCGAAAGTCGGTTATCCGAAACGTTGGTTATCCGAAAGAATTCCAGTTAGCAAATTTAAATTTTCGCTAGTGCTGTGGCGCTGCAATCTGTGGCTATATCTTGGGCTACGCCAATATTTTTTTTGTTGATGTGTGTGTTTTAGCTGGCAGCATGGCACTTTTGTGTGGTGTTTTTCTGAGGACTGTGTGTCATGCTGAATCGAACGTTTTTGATACTAGATCAACTTATAAAGTATATATATTTTTTGGTTTTTATATTTTTCAATATATTTATTTCGTTTGTAAAAATAATTTTTAACGATACAATAGCCACGATTATTATTTTAAAAAGTTTACATTAGGCTTAACATCGACGAAAATTCAACGCGAAGCGACACGCAACGGAAAAAAATTTCAACATGGGATAGGTTAATATGTTTTTTCGTACATAATCGGTTATCCGAAAACAAGTTATCCGAACAACCCCAGTCCCCCAATTGATTCGGATAAACGACGCTCTACTGTATTTATAATTTCACTAACTCTTGATTGTGTGTGTAAGGGAATTAAGAGTGGAATAAATCCAAATTTCCTGTCGATTTATGCGTTTAATAATTGGGTTGTATTTGGTGACGATTTGTCGAGTACAAAAGTCCTTGACCTTGTTTTCATTTCCGCTAAATAGTGAGCATTCACAACTTTGTTGTGGGGCTCGTTGTATAGGAATGTCCAGTGAACATATAGAAAAATGGGCTGTTTTACAGAGAGTCAATTCTTGACGCTGTAACAGCATATAGGATTGTCTATCCATAGATAGAGCGATTACCGGGAATTTAGTTTGGAACTGAATAAAAGTTTTCAAGGTAGGATATAGGTAGGAAATTTTACGATTTCGTACGTATCAAAGTATCCACTAAGAGTGATTAATGGAATCTTAACAAAGATTCTTAATTTGCCCGGTAAAGCTACAGTGGTGGTGGTAATCCACTGATAGTATTTAAACAAGGTCTCGCGTTGGATAGGTTCAATCATCGCGTAACCTTTTGGAAGTTGGGTTTGGATCTCTCGAAGGATGTATAACATAACTGCTCGAGATACGAAATAGGTACTTAGTCGACGTTGTTCCAGAATATCAATTGCTTCTCATAGTTCTATCATTTGGAAGTGGAATTCTTGAACGGAGAATTCGACAGTTCGCAGAATAATCTCAAAAGCAAGATTATAACGGTACAAATTCACGACTTCTCCAAAAGATTCTTGTCGTTTTAACAATACATAAATTTGGTGTCGATTGGCTTTACTTATGTTTAAGGTATGATTGAGTAAGGTAGTTTGTGATCGTAAGAGATGAATAATTCCTTCGTTACGTTGTTTAATTTGGGAGATTTCGTTATTTAAAGTCTCAATATCTTCGGATGTAGCAGTTCCGAAAAGGAATTTAAGAACTTTTCCACCTAGGTCTATTAAGCCTCTCCTTCTTTTATGAGGGATAGGGTGATCGGTGCCTGGAGTTCTCGATAGTCGCGTTGGAAATTTAGGAAAGAGTTTTTTATCATCCCAAAACTTTTGGTCGGGAGTGGAGAGGTCCCATTATTCGGGAGATATTGTTCTTGACGCTCAATTATAGTCTCCAGATAGGAAAGGGATTGTGAGATGAATTGGACTTGTCGTTCTACATGCTCGAAACTGAGGTCGTTTACGAGAGTCCAGTGACTTGAGGTCATTAGGAAATTCCCTTGGTGCAAGAAGATTACTCCTTTCGTGAATTCTGTTGGTCCCGAGGGAGGTTCCAAGGTAGTACATCTAATACTCAAGAAAATGATAAGAATATGGAGATAAAGCATATTGGTTTCCGAAAAGGGTGCTGGGTAAGGTTTATCTCCTGGATTAGAGTTTCTCTCCCTGAAACGGGGAAATATTTCTATTAACATAGAGCGAATTAAGGAAAGGACGCAAATATCTCCTTAAAAGAGATAAATCGGACGTAGAGTATTCTACTCTTGTGTTACCTCTTCCAAAACAAAAGTTCAAGTGAATTTAGGAGCTAAAACGAATCTATCTTGTCCCACCGTTCTCTAGATTAAATAAGATTAAATAACTAGTTAACTATGGTTCTCTAGACTAAACTTATGGCCTTGCGCCGAACAAGGAACAAAGGACTCGAGATGAAATAACAAGAAATGATATTTATTAAAATAAATACATTTGTTAATATAAATGATTAATTATACACAATATGAATATAATACATTATAAAAAAAATTGTTAGAAATTACGGATGAGTGGCCCTGCCCCGATTTCTAGTCGTTCGGGGTTGTCGAGAACGTCCCCTCATAGGGAAACTGGGAACAGTGGTGTTCTGGCCGCATGTACAGGTGGTGTGGTTTCCAACTGCTAATAACAGTGGCGGGTGATCTCAACTTCTTCCCGTAAGGCTCCTTCCAGCGACGGAGGACACTTATAGCCAATAGGAAGAATGATCGTGGCCTGTGTAGAATTGTGCAGATGTTGGCCCCGAGCAAATGCTAGTGCGGCCTGTAAGGATTCGTTGTTAACCTCCGCAGGTGGTGGTGACGGAGGTGGTGGTGATGTAACAGGGGAGTCTCACCATTCATTAGATTGGGCCATCTCTGTAAAGTGCAGGAGACAAAATTTACAGGGCGGAAATATTTAAGAAAAACTTAAAATTATTTGAGGCACAAAAAAAATATATGACCTCGGAGGAGGTGAGTGGGGGTCGTCGGTAAAGTGTTGACAATATTCGAATTAAATCACCTATTTAACAACAAAATAAACATTTATTAGACAACACTACAAACTAACAAAAGAAATTATTGACCGTTCACGCGGATTTTGAAGGACCGCGCCGAGAGAGAGTTGACAATACTTTTGGGGTTTCATACCTCTTGTTGATTTAACGTCGGGTAAACTGGATCGACTCGGATGGAGGTTGGGACTTCGGTCGAGTAAGGCGTCTAGGGAAGGGTCATCTACGACATCTCCGTTGAGGATCGATGATACCGGCCGGTTAGGTTGGTCGGCGGGGTCGGTCCTTGAGGAGCGGCGATGACGGACTTGATTACGTACGGCGAAGTCCTTCCCTTCATCTCTCGTCTCCTCTTCTATATCTTCTCTCACGTTATCACTTTACACCAATCGTAGATTACTTTCGATAAGGTCCTGGTGATGCAGCTTCGGGTTCCGGAGGGAAAGGAAGTTACACCGGGGACGGGAAGACGAACATCCGTCTCCGAAAAGTTTCGAAAGAGGGGAAATATAGAGGCTTTCTTTGTTTAAAATAAATATTCTGATTTATTAATTTTGTTGTTTAAATGACTTAAATTCGATGCGATTTTCACATGTGTATTGACATTAATGTTAAAATTATTGCAAAATTTTCAATTAAACTATGTGATATTAAACATTTTAATGTTGAGACCTTTTAAAACATCAAGAAGTAACTTTTAACTGTATTTTAATGAAACTTTTTTTTGTACATTTACTATAATAATAAAATAATCGAAAACAACAAATGTAAATTGCAAATTAAATTTTTTTTTACAATCTTTATTAGACAATACAGTATTTTTAACCTTACATAAACTTGCATTTAATTTTTTTATAAATATATTACAACAGAAAATGCTAAGTGGAAATGCAAATTAGTTAACAATTTAATATATATTTTCACTTAAACATAATTCATACTTTGTAATGCATAATTGTTAAAATATTTTAAATAATAAGTTATTTTTTTCTACAAATTCTCTCTAATCCATTGATTTGCTTTTACTTAAACATAATTCATACTTTTTAATGCATAATTGTTAAAACATTTTAAATAATAAGTTATTTTTTTCTACAAATTCTCTCTAATCCATTGATTTGCTTTTCAAATCAAATTCTGTGGAAAATTAAATATGGACACTGGATATCACTTTACTTTATATTTTCCTACGCAACCAGGTATACACTACATACAAGGCATCTAGAAATAGTTATTTATTAGTATGGTAATATTATTTTAACATAAAAAAGGGTTTAAATGAAAACATTACAGGACAAATACAACATTACTTTTTCCTGATATTTATATTCATAAACAATTTCCGTGATGAAATGTATGGAAATTCTTATTTAAAACATATATAACTATTATATTCAATGAAATATACAAAACTTAGGTTGTCGGTCGTACTCAATGATGACACATAATTATAAGTTCAATTAGCCTAAATCCAAGCTCCAAGCTATGACCGAGAGAGAGAGAGTTTTAAGAATTTTCAAGAGTTACCTCTTTGTCCCCGATCTCGCAGCATGAGCGGCCGGATGGCCAGGCGTTTAAGGTGGCAGCCTACCGCTCTGGGGTACTCGGGCTCGAATCCGAACGGGTCGAAAAAACCCCAGGAATTTTTCGGGGGTGGTCCATGATATGTCGGGCCCCGCCCCTCACCACCCGGCAGCCCCATTGTGGACCTGGCCGAACCCATAATGGGCTTGCAAAAAGAGGTCTTCTTAGTGCCCACAGGGCGGAAAAAGTTTAAAAAAAAAAAAAAAATCTCGCAGTATGGGCCGTTGGTAAGAACTGTCCCCGGATCGGCTGACCTTAATCGTAGTCTTCCTTCTCCTCGTATCTGGCTCATCGAGAGACGGACGGCGATTATGGCGGGAAGGCAAGGGTTACGACGGACGGAGTGGCGGTATGGGTCTGGTGTCCCCTGATGTCCGCTGGTGATGTCCGCCCCGAGGTGAAGTGCGACCCCTTTTTATACCCGTCCCGAAGGGAGAAAAATTTGGGGAACATTCTTATATAATTCCATGTAAGTTCGACTGGTCAGGAAAGATTTCGATTTCTGACAATTAGTATAAACATTTCTGTATATTTATTAGTTCTTCTATCCGGTATTGTCACTCTTTTTAACTTATAAATTTGATAACAGTTGTCAAACTAACGGAATTAATAGCTGGAGATGACTAATGTCAGAGTTAGTCTTGCACCTTAGTAATGATTGTTGCCTTTTATGATCATCTTGATCTGTTTTCTCATCGTTCACCTCGAACGGAATAGAAATCTGTAGTTGTCATTACAATAATAATTTTAAATCAAAATCTATTTTTATTTTTATTAATATATCCGTTTATAATCATATTTGAAACAGTACCGCTTAGAGAGTAACGAAACCCTATATTGGAGGCCCTATAGCAAATTAAATTATTATTCTATATTAAAGGAAGTAAATCGAAAAAGGAAAAAGATAAAATCAATATACACATCCCAAACCTTTTCTATATTTTAATAGTAAAGTATTTTTGAATGTAAAATAAATTTTATAAATAATAAAATAAAATAATTTACTTTTTAAAACTAAACAAGTAAAAATAATATGTAGAAAGTAGGCCTGTGTATTTGAATAACTATAATAAAAAATTTAAAGATAAAAGTTGTTCAATCAATTTAAAACATTTAATACGTTTTAAAATTAGTTTACATATTTTATTAATTTGTAAATATTTTTCAAATACTGCTTTTTTAAAATCGACATTATACAGGAGCAACTACTTTTTTGGGGCTTAAGGAAATTTGCTTATTTTATCCTCCTCCGAGGCATCCCTGATAGAGTAACATCTTTACTCCGTGTCCATGATAAATTAGTCTGATTGATTCAGTCATAATTATTACAGTGAACATAGAAATTTGAAGTGTGTTTACTATTGCATCATAGTTATTATTTAAACGATTAGTTCAACCAGATTTGTTTCTTTTTTTCTTCAAACTGGCTTGCGAACACAGAATGCCTTTANAAGTTTATGACCTAAAAATACGGTAAACATGTCCTACATTTTGCTCACGTGTTCGATTTTGAAGGAACGCGTGTAACATACGATACTACAAATACACCCATAACAATTAATTAATTAGAAATATTCCATTGTTCGTGTCTTGCACTTGGTTGGCGAAATTCTGGAAGAAAAGTAAATTGCAATTGTCTGAATTTTCTTTTCTTTTTGTTTAAACGTTTGAATAGAATAATTAAAATTTGCAGTCGACAGGATATGATTATTTCCGTGAAAATCGTTCGAGCATTACTCGATAAACTTCAATTCTGACGGGAATTCTACTGTAACTAATTAATGCTGTGTTCAAAAGTCGTTAATGAAAATTAAAGTTTCGAAAAAGTCATCCATTTTGGAACCGCGACCGAAAAAAAGTCTAAAGTAGTGTTTTCTTCCGTTCTTAAAGAGGTAAAAATATATTAAATTTTGTTATTTATTTTTATTACAGGATTCGGATCTTTTGTTTTGATGTTATTAAACACAGTCTGTTTGGAAATATTATTTTAGTTTGTATCCTTATTAGTAGTAGTATGTTAGCTGCTGAAGATCCATTGCAGTCAGAGTCAGAAAGAAATAAGGTATGGCATTACATATATTGATAAAATTTTGATTTGTATTTCTATCTTTACACTGAATTTGTTTCTTTGTAAGATATTTTACATACAGTAAAAAGTTTTTTAATATTACTGAAGAAACTGGTATGAATGAAATGTCTTTAATATATGAGTATGTTTAACTTTAAGTATGCATATGCAGATGGAGTATGAGTGTGGATTTATAAATGAAATTTTTATATTTTATTAATTTGTAAAATTTTTCAAATACTGCTTTTTTAAAATCGACATTATACAGGAGCAACTACTTTTTTGGGGCTTAAGGAAATTTGCTTATTTTATCCTCCTCCGAGGCATCCCTGATAGAGTAACATCTTTACTCCGTGTCCATGATAAATTAGTCTGATTGATTCAGTCATAATTATTACAGTGAACATAGAAATTTGAAGTGTGTTTACTATTGCATCATAGTTATTATTTAAACGATTAGTTCAACCAGATTTGTTTCTTTTTTTCTTCAAACTGGCTTGCGAACACTGAATGCCTTTATTCGTGTCCATTATAAGTTCGGCCAAACCTACAATGGAACAATCGGATGGTGAGGAATGTGACCCGACATCCGGATCACCCATCAGTGAGCCAAACCACACTCGAATCCGGGATCTCCAAATCACCAGGTTGAAACCTTTATTGACCGTGACACACTATCTTAATTTTGTTTTCCGAGCGCATCGCCGTTAACTTGTTAGAAAAGTGAATAGGCAAAGCAAAAAAGACCCCAGTTTGTCCTTCTGGAGAACCCAATACGAATTCGGATTCTCAGCAATTTTTATTGGACTATTCCAAAAATTTTTAAACTTTTTCTACCATGTGGATACTAAGAGTCTTTTTTATAGCAAGCCCATTAAAAGTCCGGACAGTCTCATAATGGAGAAACCGGGTGGTGAGGAATGGAATTCGACATATCAGGAGGACCGCACGTTGAAAATTTATTGGGGTTTTTTACCGGTTCAGAACGATTCCGGGTCCCCAGAGCGGTAGGGTACCATCTTAACCAGTCGGCCATTCGGCAAAATTATTTGTTAAGAATATTTTATAAAGGATTCATAATATTAAATATAAAGGAAACTTTTTAAGACTATTATTAATTNTTCGACTTACGTCGTTTTCCTGGAACCAATTACCGACGTAAGGCGAGGTATACCTGTAGTGGTGTAGAATACATTAAACTTACAACTGTTCGAATCGGTTAAAATATTCTTGTTAAACAGAAGTCGTTAATAAATATAATCTTTGGGAGAAATTGTACTTTAATTAATTAATTATTTTATCAAAAATTATGAAGATTTGCTTAAGGTATGTTTTATAACTTTCGTCTATTTTTAACTTTTAATTTTCGTAATTTCTCATACTACGCAATACACAGTATATTCCGTGAGAGAAGTGTTATTTTCTTTTAAAAAATTCTCGAACGAAAAATTTCGTGAATATATACAGGTGTTCCTTTTTAATCAATTCGTTCTCGTGCATGATAGGCGAATATCTCGAAAATTTGCATTTTACAAAAGAAAAAGAAATTCTCCAGACAAAATTTGTACTGTATGAAGGGACCACAAGATGGCTCTAACAGTGAAAACGGGATCAACTTCATTATCTTGACGAGAACCCCCTTTTTTAATTATTTGTTACTATTTTAAATCAAAAACAAACAAACCTTTATCTAAAACGTTTTTGAAAAATGCACTTATCAATCAGAAGTTATGAATATTTGAAATTTTGTGCGGCCGCCACA